GAAATCTCTGTCTGAAGATCTGGGGGCTGGGGTGGCAGGAGGGTGGCCAGGGGTGCAGGGTTCTGTGTTGGATGAGAGGGCAGGTAGCTTTAGCTGCCCCGGGAAACTGACTGGGCCCTTTCGGGGTTGGTAGGTTAACTGCGCCTGCTCCAAAGTGAGGGACTGAATTTCCTATTTGAAAGGATTAAAAAGGGGCTTTCGGGTGGGGATGGCAGTTTTGCAAAGACATGAATGAAGGCCCGCTCCCTCCATCCCAGTGCTCTGAGGCCCTGGGTTCATTTTATCAAATGCTGAACATGCCTCTCCTCGGGTCTGGTGTGTTTTGCAGGGTGCGTGGAGTCTGCAAAACATTACAAAGGGGCAGGAGCATTATTCTCCGGGACTTTTCTTGTGCAGGAGGTGTTTGCGTGTCCCCCCGCCGGCTTGAAAAGTGAGCCGTGTGCCGCTCCCGTCAGACTGGCCTTGCCTGTGGTAGACACGTCTGCCAACTCTTCCGTCACCCTCTGCCCCCAAATTAAACTGGGTTCACAAAATAAAGTGCCCTCCTTTCTTGGATTTGCACAGGGCTTTAGGGTGCACACAAGTCCTCCCAAATGTGGCTCACAGCTGGGGGGAGCTTTTCCTGCGGGGTCTCCTCCAGCTTGCAGACCCTCTCCCCATCTCAGAAGCTGGCAAGGGCATGCAGGGCACCTTTGAAACCGGCACCATTACTGACTCTTCGATTCCTTGCAAGAAGCAGAGGGGCTTCCTATGGAAAGTCACTGATCAAGCGGGTCAGCGTGGCTCCGAGCACCCAGGGTCTGGAATCACTGCACTACCCCTAAACCTTGGGTGAACTGCCCTTGACCTTTCTGTCCCCATCTGGGGGCACCGCTGTCCTCGGCCTGCACTTCCCATCTCTCAGCAGGAAGCCACTGCACTTACCAGATTAAAAACCACGGCAGAGCCACATGCTCGGAGCACTTATTTGTATTGGTGTCATGTTTAGTCAGTGGCTTTTGTAAAATTGATGAATTTTGTCTAAAGGCAAGTGCAGACAGGCAAACAGATCTGTATCTGCTGTTATCCATTTAGCTTGACACACGTGTGCGGAGGAGCTGTTCTGCCTCGATTCCGGCCGGGCTGATGGAGAGGCACCGCGGGCAAGGCCGCGAGCCACAC